TAGAATAGTACATGTACTTCAATGAAAAAACTGAAGTATAACATGCACAATAAATGAGACAAAATACTTAGTGAATGTGGATTAATAGTGAATGGTTGAATGCATAGTCACTAGTATAATAAATATGTTTATACACTTTGTTGTACCATATCTCTTGTTCCAGTGAATCCAACAGCAATCCATCCATCAGCACTACCCTCCAACTGCATATCAATGAAACTGCTATTATCAGAATTGAAACGAGCAGCAAAATAATAATCATCTCCAGGACTACCAACACGGAATGGATAAGTAGCATCTGACGACTATTAATAAATAAATAAATAAATAAATAACCACTGACAGCTAGGGTATTTTTATTAATGTATTATGCCATTTAGCTAATTCTAATGATAAACATTCAGTTATCAGCACTTAAAAATAGGCAAATTTCAACTAACTATTATAGCCCTTGGTATTAGGGCCTTGAAAAATTATAAAGTCTCTATTAATGCTATTGTGTTAAAAGGAAAATATTAATACTGATACTCACTGGTGCTTGAGGGCAAGCGTCAGTTGGAGGGGCTGGTGTGGTTGAGTCTCTCATTGGATTATACTGTACTGAGGAAGGAGTAGGAGTACTACTGTGCTTGTATAGGAAACTGACCACTGGCTGACCTAAGTCACCTAACACACAAACATTTATCATTGGACTCGCCGCGTAGGTGGATATTAAGTAGTTTGGTTGTCTGTCATTCATTCTGTCCCTTTTTAATGTCTTTTTAAAAATATATAAATTTGAAACCACGCACTCTGGCCTTATAGATCTTTCTCTACAGCTGGAAAAAGTCTTTCTTTATCATCCAATAATGTCTAAAGAGCAGCACCAGGGAGAAGAAGCTTACAAAGTTAGGAAAACTGATTAAAAAATACAGCAAATGTGCTGACACTTTCGAGATTGATAAAACCATTTCCCAGTAGATTTTTGTCTTCTATTTCATTAATATGTGTAGAATTTCTTAACTCTTACTTGGTAGCGACTTATGAGCCTTCAAACTTTAGCTCGGCCAGCTTTGAGAAGGGCTGGAGCACAAATATGGTAAGCTAGAGGTACTAAACTCTGTCAGCTCACTCATATCTATCTAGGCAACAGTATTGTGCCATCTTTTCTATCATAAGTTACTCGTGAGAAGAAACAAAATTTCAGCTTTTCAGTCACATGTCATGCTAATACCATTTTCATTATAGATGGCAAAGAAACCACGCCTCTCTTAATAATGGGCAATTTTACATGCTTGGATTAAGAATCTTTAGCTGCTTGTTTGCTATCTTATGCATATTGCCTTAAGTAAATAAAATCTATCAAGACAACAGTATCTGTGCCATCATAATAGGTGTTATTTTTTATAGCTATATTAGACTTGATTTAGCACAAAACATGCATTATAGGCTTAGGCAATAAATTGTAGTATTTAATCTCTATCATGCTGCATGATAGAAATCAAGACCACAATTTATTGCTTTTAATAGTGCATAAATGCAAGAGCAA